TATATATATATATATATATATATATACATACATGTACATACACACACACATATATATGCTGTAACAAATTTCATATAAACATTGTGAAAACTTGCGAAAAAGTAATGTAGCTGTACATATTATTCCAGTCACTGCATATAACCAACTCAGTGAAAGAATAGCATATTTTTGTGATGGTGTGTCAAAGAACATGTTATAGCGTGTGAATAGAAGAAAAGGCTGTAAACACTTATGATTCTGATGATGATGATTATTATTATTGTAATTGTTATTATTATGATACCTCCCCCCCCCCCCCCCCCCCTCCCCCCCCCGCTGAAAGACGGTAACCGCCCTTAGACCAACACACACTTGTTGCTCTGTAAATAGTCAAAAGCTGAATCGTTTTATAGTGTCAAACCAGCAAATTTACGAATGGTGTGTTCAGTCAGTCAAGATTTATGAAATTAAAAAAAAAAAAAGAGGAAAAAAAGAAAAAATAACAAAAAAGATCCGAATTGGTATCTTTTGTGAAGCTATAAAGACGAGGAGAAGAAGAAAAAAAAAAGATTTTAATCCAAAGCACACTGTACTTTTAGATTGCATTTTGTGCATTTATGCGGACACTTTTATACTCTTCTCGGTTTTCTCTTATTGTTTGTATCATCCTGCTCCTTCCCAAATTCTTTTGGGAACAAACAATGTACGGGCTCTGCGCATGAGCTCGCTTTGTTTTTTTTTTTTTTGTTTTGTTGGGTTTTTTGTTTGTTTTTGGAATGAATTTGGAAAGGGTTTTTTTTGATACCATACCTCAGCCTTGTGGATTCTGTTGTGGAATCATGGGCAGGTTTAATTTATTCTCACGTAAATGAAAACACTGAATGATTGAAATAGATCTATTGATAAAAAAAAAACAGAGAGAAAGAGAAGAAATCATTGCACTGTGAGTAGTGAAGTACAGGCCATTTCCTATTTGCACATGTTCATGTTGGCTTTTTAAAAGGCGGCCCTGTGCTTTGGGATTAGCGTGAAGGATTTTTTTTGGATTCGCCTGTTCTGAAATAGACAAAACACCTTTGAATCGCGAGGTGACTCAACAGCTTTGCTCAATAGTAGTTGACATGTTTGACCTTTGCTTTGCTTTTATTGGACCCGTGACTCATCTGAACGTATTTATTCTGGGTCTCACACTGAATTACTCGTTATCAAACCACAAACATTTCGCTTGTAATAATAATAATAATAATGATACGCTCCCGGAGTGTCGTCGGCTATTTCAAGGTCATCCGACGGAGTGGATGGTGTGCATTCTGCTGCATAATAATTATGTACCGTTTCTTTTTTTTTTTCCCGTTGTTTTTGTTGTTGTTGTTGTTGTTGTTCCTCCCACTTGCAAACAACCAGGTTAAGAAATATGCTGGATACCTTTAAAGTCAATGGTATGGAATGATCAAGTAATAATTTAAAGGAGAAAAAAAAATAAAACTTGTAATGTTCACATGTAAAAGAAAATACAAAAACGACCAAAAAAAAAAAAACAAGAACAAACAAACAAAAAAAAGAAAAAAAAGGAAGATGCTTATTTGCTGATTTCTAGTTCAATTTTGTTGTGGTTTCTATATGAATAATAATTGTACTATACTATTAAAATGTACTGTGCATCCATTGCTTTTCTCTCTTTCCATCCTCGGAAGACCTTTTGTTACTCATTCATGTATTTCATGGGTGTGTAAAGAAATAACTTGTAAACGCTGTGCTGTCTTTGCTCCCAGTCTAGTGCTTCATTGTTGTTCTCCCCTCTGCTCCGCCTCTCCTTCCTTTTCCTCTTCCTCTTCCCTTCTCTGGCGTCTCCCCCCCTGAAGTACAAGTAGATGTTTTGTAGAACTCATGAATATGATAGATGTAGTGACTATAGTAGACTTAGGACCAGTCAAGATAGACACTAGACCTTTCTCTCAGCGACCATGTTAGTCTCACATCATCACACTTGGACCTTTCAGTTCTTCTTTTTCCTTCCTCTTCTTCTACTCCTTCTTCTTCTTCTTCTGTTGACGTCACTTCTCTCGCGTGGTTTCAGCGAACCAAAGCTCTCGTGGATGGACGATAGAGGGAAACACTTGCTGGGAGGTGGAAGTGTACACAAAGGCATTATTTGGATATCCCACCCTTGAATGTTTTTAAAGGGGTGTGCCATACTACCTTAAATGCTAACGCTCGATATGCAAAACGTGTATTCTTTGATTTGCTTTTGCAGAGGGGCGCGCCGTCATCGTTTCTCAAGCGCGAGTCCGTCGTTTCTATCGAACCGCTGACTCTTTCAAGACCAGTCTTAAATAGTTATGTTAGTCCAAGGGTGATTTATGCGGAGTTTATAACTCCTTGAGATTTAATGAATACATTGGAATATGATGGGGGGGGGGGAAGAAATTTGAACCCGGGCCCGAGAATCCAATCGCTTGAACCAGTCATACTCAAAACGGCAAGGGCTTCAAGTGAGATACTCTCATATCGTGATTCCTCAAATAGTGACCGTGGGGGTGTTTGAGATGAGGCCTCGCTCCTTTTATTCTTGGTTCCTCTCCGGTAATGGAGACGGAAGTAATTGTTGCCCACCCGGGTTCTGCGCCATCGCATACGATAGAAGCTCAAGCGCTTTTTGCACTTGCGGCAAAGAATGTAAGACCATCCCACACTTGCGCATTGTTTGGTTATTTGTTTAACGGACACGTTTCTTTTTTAAACCGCCGTTTCTAAATTTACCATAGTTTGTCGAAAACCACAATTGAAAGGATACCAAAAGGATGGTGTTATGCACTTACCTCACTGTACTGTCACATTTTTCTTCTTAGTTAACGTCAATAATGCTGTCCAAAAGCTATGATGTCGCGCTACATACTCTTGTAGCTGTTTGGTAGCCTATTCATGTTCAACAAATCAGGTTTTTGTGCGCCAGACCAAACATTAGCAGTTGGTGGAAAGGCAGCTACAGTGAAGGTAATTCCCCATCAAAGTGTAATTTTGGCTAGCCGGTCTATTAGAGTGAAGGCCACTATTTGAGGAAATAGGATATTCATAAATTGCTCCCATCAAGATTGTTATTCGACAATTAAGCATAATAGAACAACAAATCACAGCAACTCGGACTGAAAGAGTGCTTGCCGAATGGAATTGAATCTATCACGAGCATTCATGTTTACGTTGAACATGTGAAATATTTCCACAAAAAAAAAAGAGAGATTATAATCAAAAACAAAGACATTTTAACCTCTTTGTGCTATTTAGCCTTCTATCCAACAGGGTAAAAAAAAAAGAAAAGTGTTCCTTCGCGTTAGTTTAACTCTAGTCTATCATATCGCCAATAGCTTAGAAGAGAAATAGCATTAGCATCATTTTTAGAATGAAGCCACCTGAACAGAACAAAAACTTGAACTTTCTTTGCCACCAATGGCCTCCGTAGTGTAGTGATGCAGTAGCTTGGACTTTAAGGTAGCATGGCTATGTGTGGCTCTCATTTCATTTGATCGCAAACTGACAGCGCTTTGCAGCTGATGAATGTTACTCATTTTAGTCGACGTAGCTTCTCCATTCAGGGAGAGGGGAGGGGGACTTGGTTTAAGAAAAAAAAATCTTTGAAAAAAAAAAAAGCGATTAAAAAAAAAAAAGTCCACCTTGAAGGTGTTGACGTTTATGTACTACCGTATCCATTGAAACTTGAATCTTGAGGCAAGTGCTAGGCAATGGCCACACTTCACTTAGCTCGCCCACACGCTGACTTTTCTGTCATCTTGCAAGCAGCGGCTCCGCGTCCACTCACTTCCACTCTTGAATGTTCTCCGTCATCGCCACCCCAGAAGAAGCTTAACAAAGCTGAACTTTTCGCTAAGCTATCTTGGTTGAAAAAGTGGGCTGTCACCGTGACCACAAAGTTAGTTTTGTTTTCTATATTTTTATTTGGAGAGGGGTGGGGGGGTTTAGCACATCTCATCTCACACTCACCACAGAAGCTTTCAAGATGGCAGAAAAGAAACGCGTTTAGAGTCAATTTCCAGTTGAAAGCATCACCACCTCCCATGCAATAGACATATGCGTGTGTCTTCATTAAGTAGGAGCTGTCTGACTAATACTAGCCTGACTCGTGCTTGTGTAGTAGGACTGTCCTGTCCCATCACTATTCCATTGTTGGAGCCCATCCCAGGTGCATTGTGGGAGATGTGTCTTGCATCGCTCTCGGGCCATTCCTAACACTTGCCCCCTCTTTTTTCATTTTTTATTCCGTTAACCGACTTTTTATGGCGAGAGACGGACAGACAGACTCGACTGACCTGATCTGAAAGCATCTTTCAGGTTACCATATAGGCTTGCTAAAGCCCCGTGTAAAATATGTGGAAAATAATAATGGATGGATGGGGGTCTCTCACATATCAAATGTGGAAAGTCTAATTTTATATTTGTATTTTCAAATAATAATATTGACAAAAAAATTGTCTGTGAAAGGTTTCCATCCTCTACTGTGGTCCAGAAATTGATGTGTCTGTCTGGAAAATAAATACAATAAACTGAATTGTTATATGACTTGTTTTTGTTTTTTGTTTTTTTTTGGGGGGGCGGGGGGGGCGAATGATCAAAATTACTCAGCGGCACATTTTTTTAAACATTATAATTAATGTTGGAATCCACACTGAATCACTGATACACATTACATCCATTCACAGAGTTAAGTAGCATAGAAAGGCGCTCCATAAATCGAAGTTCTTTTTATGTTTGAAGTCCCAAACGTTGCAATGCCTCCAGCGAGCAAACAAGTGCTGCTGCATAGTTCTGCTTCCTCCCAGTGGCCATACCCGTTACTACATATGCACTCAGGAAAATAAGCCAAACAACCACCAGTTTTTTGTTTTTTCTCATCAGCATCATCGTAAAGAGCGTAAATATCAGCTAAGGCTCAGTGACTAAATGGCTGTAGATAGAATAAGAGGATGAATCAACGTGAAGAAGCACACCCGCACACATGAGTTGGGCTTAATAAAGGTTGAAATTCAGTCATTCCAATTCCAGGTTTATCATCATTATTCATATTATATTCACTCTCATGCAGACGCCATATATCACTTTCAAAGATGCGTAATGTGGTGACTCCCATCAGTCTTGTTGACAAGCTGATCGATGAGTCACAGCGCCAGTTGTAGTTGGGCGTTTCTCGACACCTTTGAGGCCCCAGGCAAGTAGGACTGTGAAGAAGCTCCCCCCCCCCACCCCCACAAAAAAGAAAAAACTCAATGGACAACCAAAGATATTCCTTGTTAAATAATCGACGTAGCTGCGAGACAGCGTCAGCTCAGTGGCCTTATGCTGGGGATTTTCACATGATGTTGCATTGTCCAAAGCAGTTTTTGTCAGTGATATGGGCCCTCATTCATTGTCTCTTGGGGCCCAAGCTAATTAACCTATTGGGAGAGTTCTATCTTCTGAAAATGTTCACTTTGACAACCATGTGGCATGTTGTTGCCAAGGAACTATATTGAAGTGAATTAAGGACTTTGATTTTGACAAAAATTTCATTTGCTGCCATCCTGTGATATTGACTTGCAATTCTAGGCTGGGTTTTTAACCCTTTCATGCACCCTGTAACCTGACAACACGGCCTCAAAAAAACTTGACAACCAAAAATGGCCGATGGTCTTTTTTTCAGTTAAAAACGGCTGACTATAAATGGTAGTTTTTTCGGTTAAAAACGCCTTACTATATATGGTCATTTTTTCTGTGAAAAATGCCT